AATTTTACAGACTATGGTAATTTTACCATAGAAAGTCTTGGCAAATGGTATACCCAGACTTTTCCTGTAAAATTTTCGATTTTTTTTTAACAGTGTAACAAGGGTCATGGGGAAGGGGGTCCCCCACTTCCAAAATAGGTGCATAAAACGAGTTGGCGAGTTGGGCATGAGTTGGGACCATCTATTTGAGAGTAGGAGCGATTTTGGCGTGAGTTTTTGCGAGTTTCTGCGAGTTGGGCGCGGGCAAGTGGTACCGTACAACGAGTTGGCTGGCTGGTATGGGACCCCTTCGAAGTGGGGAGGAAGGAGGATGGGTGGGTAGGAGCAGCCCAAAGGGCTAGGAGGAACCCAGGGTGAGCTCCACCGTTAAAAATTTGTTGTGATTTCACAAAGTTTCAATCACAAGCACAATCTACCTTGGAATTCCCAGAAGACTTTCCTCTCTAGTTTTGCGTTCTAAATAAAGCTCGTCAAAAGAGACGAGTTGGAGGGTGCCCATATTTTAACAAGCATAATTCGAATTTGACAGTTAAAATGTCATCGTCAACTTTTCATCACGTGGTAGGCTATCTGCGGAATATTTTGCACTATGTTCCACCACGGAGATTTAATTTCACGACGACTACTGCTACTGTTACTTCGTGTCGTGAAATCCTAGAGATTTCTACAACAGTGCCTCTTAGTGAAAAGACTTCGACGTCTCGGACCTTTGGGTGTAACAAGTCCATTTAGACTTAAGATTTTGACTCCTGTAGTCCAAAACCTCTACAAAAATTCGGAGGAACGGACCCTAGCCCTATCACGCTGATTTGTAAAACGTTTTAGTTCGACCTCAACTGTTGCACACTAACCTGCCTCTTACTGCGAATGGCGAAAAAAAGATCGTCCTCGTCCTGTTCTCGAGTATAACAATTACGGAACGGACTCACTATATTTCCACCCTGCTCACACAAATTCAGACAAATACTATGAACCATGTCTGTTTTTGGTGCGAAAAGATCGTCGCCAGCCCGAGATGAACGTCTCGTCGTGGCCCCAAGCGCTATCTCTTTAAGAGATTTTGGGACGAAGGAACGAACGAACGGACGGAACGAACGAACGGACGGACGGACGGAACGATTCAAGTATTTGCAAATGAAGGAGCGAATGAGCGTTAAAACATCTGTAATAGCGACAGAAGGACGATAGATGATGATCTACGGCACAGGAGATGAACTGCTGTTGTTTAATTGCGGTATTTGAGTCGTTGCACGTTGCTCTAACCTCATTCCTTCAATTTCTCATACCACTGCTGGTGGGCGGGAGAAATTGAAGGAATGAGGTTAGAGCAAAATGCAACGACTCAAATACCGCAATTAAACAACAGCAGTTCATCTCCTGTGCTGTAGATCATCATCTATCATCCTTCTGTCGCTATTACAGATGTTTTAACGCTCATTCGCTCCTTCATTTGCAAATACTTGAATCGTTCCGTCCGTCCGTCCGTTCGTTCGTTCCGTCCGTTCGTTCGTTCCTTCGTCCCAAAATCTCTTAAAGAGATAGCGCTCCAGACCCACACTCGAACCAACATGGGGCTGGCCCCAAACGTGGTGGTGGGGGGTAAAGTACATTCTCCTCTACGCTTATGAAAAATTAAACGAACGCGGAATGGTGGACCGTGGATCACAACATCACAACAACTCGTTTATTTGGATTATTTTCCCAGTTTTCCTGTTGGAGTTAGGACTTTGCTGTCTGAAATGTAACAACCTGCAAGCGACGTGATTATACGTTGGAATTAAAATTCAGAGTTGTGATAAACCATTTTTTAATTTAAAATAATTCCTACATGATGAAAACAAAGTGATAAAGTTAGCCGAGTTACTTTCCTCTTTAAAGAAAGTATCACAAGTCCTCTAGATGAATTAGCGAAATGTTCTAAATTAATATTATGCTCAACTACATAATATATTTTCTCCCAACAAAACAAACAGAGGGTAACATTTCAGGAAACCATGAACACGGGTACTGTTTTTTTTTTATTGACAACCGAAGATAATATTTTAGAGCCTGAAATCATTGTGAACTCAGTATGTGCAAAACGTAAATGAGAAATATTTGCAGGTAAACATAAAATGTGCCTTCAAAGTTTGTGTCGAAGCAGTGGGCGTCATTATTGAAAGTCATGTATGGTGGCATTGATAATAACTCCACAATGAAAATCTTATACTAGTCGTTGACCACTAGAATATTAATTTACTGTGCTCATAAATTCTACAATTTAACTTTACTAATACTTTGTAATCTAACTCAAGGGAACACTTTTGCATTCTAGTCTTTGAACGATACAGGGCTTGCTACTAAACTTGCTTTGCCTCGTTGCTTTTGCTCTGCCCAAGTGACGGAGACAGGTCAAAAATATAAAAATATATAAATTGGTGATAGATCATCAATTTGACGTCAAATGATTCTTTTAATTTTTATGACAATTTAGTCACTCTGACATTTTTTCCTGTAAGTTTTAAGTTGGCAGGTGTCATTTGGCTTACTGGCTCATCATAGTTCCATTTGTAATTGAAAAATAATGAAATTTTATGATGCCTGATTATATATTAGTTTTTGAAAAGATTGAGGTATCTCCTTGATCGAAGAGAAATGTTACAAACATAAACACAATCAATTTCGCAGGTAGTCTAGGACATAGTGGCTGTGTTTTTCTGGTTCAATCAGTTTTAGTCTAAACTATAAAGTCTTCCAAAATAAAAAAAAAAAATGAAAAAATAAACACTTTAAAAACTCAGAAAAATTGTAATTTCACATGATCCTTAATCGGCAAACCCAAGGAATTTGGAACTCTTGATTGTACTGATCCAGGGCACTTACATAATGGGGCACTATAATGGAAACTTACGCTTGTCTTGGTGTCTTTATCACGATAATTTCAGCGTATGGTATGCCATAAAACGAAATATTTACACTTTTTCAAGACCCTAGTAGGAATTCAGCCCAATAAATTGGTTATTCTGGGTTCAATGTACATGACTGCCATGCATGGCGCCTTAGGGGAAGAATGGGTAGGCAACCCGCACAGCAGCATACCATACTTTTAAAATGATATTTGCGGTAAAACTATTTGACCTACAAAGAATATTATAAAGTTGAAAGTGACAATAATTTGTTCCTTTATCGTTTCATAAAAGTTTCAGAACCGCATTCTTTGTCATATCTGAGTTTCATCGAAAAGTCACTTTCGGGCTTTCAAGTCGAGGGAAGGATGTGCTCTGGGCATAGGGGTGACGAGGTGGCCGAAAAGAAAACTGTTTTTGACAACCATTGGGTGCACATATGTGCAATTAAGTTTATTTGATAGGATTTTTGAATTGAAAAATGTTGTTGTTGAACTATTTTTGTGTCAGAACTATAGTTTGGGCGTAAATTGCCTGCAAACCCGAGAAAAGGGTGTCCTCGGGTGGGGGTTTTTATGAGTTTTCTTGGCCAATTTTGATGTTTTGGGGGTCAAATTTGGTGAATCATCATATTACAACAACCTCCACCGACGCCCATTAAAAAATCAATAATTTTTCAAAAATTGCAAAAAATTGCAAATTTGTTGGAAACTGTGGAAAGTTAAGGAAAATCAAATGTATGACATGATTGGTGAGCTGATTTCTCATGGTGATTAGTTCGAGACATTTTTAACGTTATGCCGTATTTTTCACGCAATTAACGAATATAGTTTTACGAATGACTGTGGCTTTGGTGCACTTGGCGGTTCTGCTGATGTGCTCAGGAATAACCCACATAGCTTCTAAAATTTAAAGAGGAAATTTACCTTAAAGTATTCTCCCAATTGCAGTCTTTTTACATTTATTAGAAACAAATTTTTAGTCGATTCCGCATTTGCGTTCATTAATAATGAGTGGTATAAAGAACGCTGGAATAGGTTATGTGCCCCATGGTCAGGGCAAGTGTTCCACCGGTCTCACCCTAAACATGGTTTGTGAAGAGCCTCATTTGAGAACAAGATGTTCCAATATTGCGATAACCGTAATTAATACTTTTCCGATGCGTATTAACATACTATCGTCAAATCTGTACCATAATTATTTCCTCTGTCTGCTGTGAAGAATTTGTTTGTTTTATTTCTCATACATGTGGCGGACTATACCCAATTTCGGTGGTGGGGGAAGTTGGGTCCAGACCGTAGAGGTTTCGAGTGTGGGTCTGGGGCCGCGACGAGGCGTTCGCCCGAGATGAAAATCCCATTGTGGACCGGTGACTTTCTCATTCAGTGCAGTGAACACAATACCAGTTTGTCATACATCACAAAACATAACACATAACCTAAAACTGTGCCTCTAGGTTGACTGACGGCAAAGACTGAAGAAAAAACATTTCTTAGTTGTTTATAGTTTCAAACCTTAAGCTTCATGGCTTCTGCTTCTTTGGAAGATAATAACATCTGGGAAGATGGAGAGGTATGTATAGAAGTCATATATTTCCTCTAGTTGTTTTCAAACTGTCACTTAAAGTTTGTGTACTTCTACCTGTAGAATGACATGACAGTTTCATCCTGCACAATACTCTACTGAATGTGTCACTTCACCAAATATTTTGTATTATTGTAGGGAAGATGGGATACCACAACCTGTGTCACTCTCCATCTCTCTCCTTGTTATTATGAATGATATTGTAGTTGCATGAACTATTGTTCCAGGATGCACTCGCAGAGGAGGTGCTTCGCATGTCCACTGATGAAATTGTTTCCAGAACTCGGTTAATGGATACTGAAGTAAAGATAATGAAGAGTGAAGTAATGAGAATTTCCCATGAGCTTCAGTCTCAAACCGATAAGATTCGTGAAAATGCTGAAAAGATTAAAGTTAACAAAACTTTGCCCTACCTTGTCTCAAATGTTATTGAAGTAAGCATTCACGGTTTGTTTTAATATGAAATATTTCTGGAATGGAATCAAATAAACTCTATTTCTGTTTGCAGCTGCTTGATATTGACCCAGAGGAGACTGAAGAGGAAGGGGCTGTTGTCGACCTTGATGCTCAGCGGAAAGGCAAATGTGCAGTTATTAAAACATCTACTCGACAGGTTCATATCAATTTTAGTAGAAAAATTTCTCTTAAACACCTCAAAGCTATGTTTTTAAAATACATATCTATTTGAATTTCAGACCTACTTCTTACCAGTTATTGGATTGGTGGATGAAGAGAAACTAAAACCAGGTGACCTGGTAGGAGTTAATAAGGACTCTTATTTAATTTTAGAAACTCTTCCTGCTGAGTACGATGCACGTGTGAAAGCAATGGAAGTTGATGAAAGGCCAACAGAACAATATTCAGACATAGGAGGACTTGACAAGCAAATCCAAGAGGTGTGTGTGAAAAAAAATATATTTAACTTACTGGATATTTGTAATTGTAAATAAGCTGGAGCATTCCTGTAGCACACTCAAATACTTACTTTAAAATTCTATTCCCAAAATCAAAAGTCTTTGTAACTTATTTGTTATTTTAAACTTATGTTTGTCAGCTCTATACTATTACCTCTAGGATATTATGTACTAATACTTTTTTGTTCTCTTCTTAAATCTATCTTGATATAGTTAATTGAAGCATGTGTCCTTCCAATGACACACAAGGAGAAATTTGTGAATCTGGGAATTCATCCACCCAAAGGAGTTCTTCTCTATGGTCCACCGGGCACAGGTACCCAACCAGCACAGTGGTGTCAAAAAAGTATGTCTCGTTTTTTTAGTGCCATTCATGTGAAATATTTCTTTTGCTTTTCTTTTTAAGGTAAAACACTGCTAGCCCGGGCATGTGCTGCTCAAACCAAGTCCACCTTTTTGAAGCTAGCGGGCCCACAGTTGGTGCAAATGTTCATTGGTGATGGAGCTAAGCTTGTGAGGGATGCCTTTGCACTTGCCAAAGAGAAGGCTCCAGCTATTGTGTTCATTGATGAGCTAGATGCTATTGGAACTAAGCGTTTTGATTCGGAAAAGGCTGGAGATCGAGAAGTTCAAAGAACTATGCTCGAACTTCTGAATCAGTTGGATGGATTTAGTTCAACTACTGACATAAAGGTTTGTATATTGTGTATAAAAAGGCTCCTGTTGCTTTAGTTTATTTTCAAGTGGTTCAAATGTTACTTTTACACTAGACATACTTACCAATTATTTTCCTACAAGGTGATAGCAGCCACAAATCGAGTTGATATTCTAGATCCTGCTCTGCTGCGATCAGGGCGCTTGGATCGCAAGATTGAGTTTCCTCATCCAAATGAAGAAGCGCGGGCCCGTATCATGCAGATTCACTCCAGGAAGATGAATGTATCTCCTGATGTGAACTTTGAAGAACTTTCAAGGACCACTGATGATTTCAATGGAGCCCAGTGTAAAGCTGTCTGTGTTGAAGCTGTAAGTTGTTCACACTTCAATCTTATTCTGCTTTAATTCAAGTTGAAGTATTACATTAGTCTCTTTTGTGGACAGGGTATGATTGCTCTACGTCGCAGTGCCAATACTGTAAATCATGAAGATTTCATGGATGCCATCATGGAGGTGCAAGCAAAGAAGAAGGCAAACTTGAATTATTATGCATAAACTTTGTAAATAAATTTTATACTCTATGCAATATGTAAAATATAGTTTATAAATCATTAAGAAAAAAAGGACTTCAAAATAAGAAATCAAAGTTCCTGTCATGACAGTTATTTATTATCTATACCAGTATTTACAAATACCCAGTTTCTTTTTTAAAAATATTCAAAAACAAAAAATAAATATATATAGAAATACATACAATTGGAATTCTAACTTTAGTCTAACCAACAAAAAAAATCTGAAGTTATTAGGGTGAGTACTATATGCTCCACACAAAGTGATTAAGTCTGTAAAGTACCTTAAATATTAACTGATTTTACTCTAAAACAAAGCAAACGTATAAATCAGCACATGAAACTTTGGACTTTGTCAGATTCATAAATTACAGCCAACACACTTTTGTACTTTAGATCAAAATGAAAAGAGAAAATGAAGAGAGTTACAGCCTCTGTCTCAGACAACCAAAGCAACTATCAAAGCATCATTTTTCTAATGTCAACAAACTTAATTAATACCTGGATGGAATCATGTAGCACACACATTTGTCTTTTAGTCCACCAATTCAAATCTCATGCCCTCAGCTCAGGGACCCATCATAGGGTGCTGTCCCATATTACCCATAGGCCCACCAGGATACTGTCCACCCGGCCCCATTGAACCCCCTGGGCCCATTGGACCTCCCATTGGTCCACCCGGTCCCATAGGTCCGCTGATTGGATTTCCCATAGAACCACCCATGGGTCCTCCCATGTGTGCCCCCATTCCTCCCATTCCAGGTCCCATTTGAGGGCCCATTCCAGGTCCCATCCCCGGCCCAGGCCCCATACCGGGTCCCATTCCCGGTACCATGGCAGGTCCCATCCCAGGTCCAGGACTTATTCCTTGAGCCATGCCTGGACCCATCCCAGTCATTCCAGGGCCCATGCCTGGGCCAGGACTCATTCCCGGTCCTGGTCCCATTCCAGGTCCGGGTCCCATTCCTAGACCCATGGGAGAGGGCATTCCCGGTCCCATAGCAGGCCCTGCTCCAACACCTGGTCCCAATCCAGGACCCATGCCTGGTCCTATTCCTGGTCCCATTCCTTGTGGCATGCCGGGAGCCATTCCTGGCCCAGGTCCCATACCTTGTGGCATACCTGGACCCATTCCTGGTCCTGGACCCATTCCTGGTGCCATACCAGGAGCCATACCACCCATACCTGGCCCAACTCCTGGGCCAGAGCCAGGGCCAGAGCCCATTGGAGGATGCATCATGCCAACTGGATTCTGCATCTGATTGGGACCACCTGGCCCAACCTGAAAAATATATTAAAGGTAAAAATAGGAAACCAAGCTGCAGACTCAAGTGACAGAGCTCAGGAGCAATTGTGTGACTTACCTGAGGGATGTCACTAGGAAGAGTTAGGTTTGTAAGAAGATCCCTTACTGCTAATAAGAGAGTGCATGGGGCATCATGAGCCATTGGGTTAGTGGCAGAATATTCAGCAAAACGTTTTAACTGCAGGTTAGCAGCAGACACAGCAAGTGCAGGTCCAGGTTCCCTCTTCTCTGCTACTTGAGTGTTACGGACAGCAATGTCATACACAAGAGGGAGAACCAGAGTCATTCCTTCCCCCATGTTAGGTGGTAGGTTAATTCTAGTAAGTTGTACCTGGAAAAAAAAAGTTATTTCAAGAAAACTGTTAATTTAAAAACACTTAAATTCAAAACAAAATATATAGAGAGAAGAAAGAAGAAAAAAACTTACAAAGAAGAGGATTTTGCTGCGACTAATGAGCACCCCTGCTTGTCCTGTAGGAACAATGGGTGAAGCTGATGAAGGGGGAACACGAAGACAAAGTTGAATGCTCCATTTAAAGTTGTTTTGCTGAGCTAAACTAGGCATCTAAAAGTAAAATTTTATGATAAAATAAAAATTAAAACCTGGCAAAACAAATGATGTTGATTTAGGTAAAAGAAATTTATAAATGTTTACCAAATCCAACTTCATAAGTTGTATGAAGTCCTTGAGAACAAAGTAAGGAGTGTTCAACATTCGAGCTAGGCCTAACAGAGAGTTAGGTTTGAATGGAGGGCACGCTATCCTCATTTCACAGAACTTTTCAATTATCTGGAGGAAAACAATGACAACCCAGTTGAAGTACGAGATGAAGTATATAATGAATATTCACTGACAGAGAATTTAGACTACCTCAATTTCTTTCATGGACCACTGCTCCTTGTTTTCAAGAGATGCAACCTTCATGTGCAGAGTCTGTCGATGGTTGGGGTTCAGCATAAGACGGCACTGAAGGGTTTCGGTTTTGAAATGCTCATACTCAGATGATTTTAAATCAGTCAGCTGAGAGAAAAACAAAGAGAAAGGGGCAGAGGAATGAAAATTATTAGTTTGTCCCACATTTAGACTAAGGGAGAGAAAAGTTAAACTTTACCGTTTCTTCGGATTGTACGAAGCGGTGCATCTGTCTAAGCATAAAGATGCAACCCAAGAATCTCTCCAACGGACATAAGTCTGGTGTGCCAGGGGGTACCTGCGGAGGCTGTGAGTTAGGCCCCGCGGGAGGCGTAGGACATGGCCGACACAGTACGTCAAAGGCCTTAACAGTTAAGACGGTAGGCACTGTGGCTCCCCAGAAGCGCTGTGGTAAGACTCGGGACTGCCACATGTCGACATGCTGACTGTGTTTGTGGTCAGGGGAGTGCTGAGAGTGCGGCCCGGGCCCAGAGCGTGCTGGGGACGGTCTGGGAATTGGCATACCGGGTGAGTTGGGCCAGTTAGATGCTGCGGGGGACGCCATATTTTGTGACGGGTACGGACTGCCATCCATGTGACCTAGAGAGTAGAATAAGAAAACAACTTTAAATGTTGAAGATGCCGACAGAAATTTATGAACTGGCAATATAAAACTAGATGGTAATGTTAGTGTAGTAAAGCAAAAAAATGAGGGACGAAATGAAATAAATTACCTCCACCCATGAATGATCCTGCAGGTGAGTGTCCAATCATGGACGGTTGAGGTGATGGGCTGGGCATTGCCAATGGACTTGGCATCGGATGGGGATTGGGCGAGCTACCAGACATAAGTCCAACTCCTGGCGAGGCTGACTGGTTGACCCCAGCAATTGATGGAGGAGATGCAAGGCTGAAGTTGGCTGCAGGTGAGGACCCGAAACTAGGGTGATTGCCCTGTGCAAAAGTGAAGGTAACAGGTGCCATGAATGTGTGTGTACAAAATATTGGTACATTTCAAACAGAAAAAAAAATTATAATCATACCTGCATGTTTGAAGTCAGTGGGCTTGCAGGGGTGTGAGGATTACCAACAGATGGAGGAGTGAGAGGGGGATGGAAACGAAGTCCATCTTTCTGACTAGCAGGTGACTGTGGACCACGGCCTGACAAAATGTTTCCAGTCTCCTGTTCTAATAACACAGGAGAGGGAGGATTTTCATCTTCAGATTGTGAACGTCTTCTGGCAACATCAGTTTCAGTAACGTACTTTGCCAGGAAAGGCTAGAAACAATAATATAAAATTTTAGTTTTTAAGTATCATGCTAAGCCAAATTATTATTTTATGGCCAAGTTCAACTTATAACTCACCCTTAAATGACGCGTGGGCATTAGATCACCAGGAACGACAGTAGAACTACTAAAAATAGAATGAGCACCATCCCTAATGCTAACATATCCGTTACCCTTGATTCTTAATTCCAAGCAATACGTTGAATTGTACACAAGATGTAGTAAAGTGGGAGTCTGAGCAACAATTGTCCATGTCTGAACAGGTACCATTGGTCTCTGCAAGAACAAAAGATATTTGACATTTCTAGAACAACGTAGATACTACAACTACTTTTTTAAAGTTTGAATATTTTGGATTATCACTAACATTACTATTGATTCCTAGTTGTAGAGTTGATGACAGGTGTAAGATCGATGAAAGAGGCTCATATGTCTCATGAAGAAGCTGGACCAATAAAACTGCACTTTTGTGCTGATTTAAGTACATTATTAACTGCTTACGAGTGAGTGAATGGGCTACAACAGCTCGTCCCAAGGCTCCTAAAATTAGAATCATACAGAATAAAGAAAAAAAGATTAAAGAGTAAAAAAAAAACACAAAAAAAACAAAAAAAAAAACAGATACAAGTATACAAATGAGAGAGTACCCACCAAAATACAGGCACAATACTTTGTTTTCTTTACGCCACTGAATTGTAACAGTTGCTCCTTTGTCTGGTCCATAACCAAGTACAAGCTTTAAATAATTATAACTCTTAACTAAGCAAATTGATGGTAAGTTGATTTTATCTATTTTATAGCTTTTAGACAATTCTTCTGCCAGCTGTAAAAAATAATTGTAAGGAAGATTGATAAACTAATAGTTTGAGGTCAGCCGATTACTTTCAAATGAAATGAAACAATAAGGTTTTCGTACTGTGAAAATGTGATAAATATGTTCCCAATCAGCAAGCAATGCATCAACAGTCTTAGAGGATTTGTCAACAGACAGCATTTCATAGTGAAGATACACTGGCCGTCTGTTGCCTTGTTCCCTTGGATGCAGAGACTGAAGTGGAGATCCAGCAAACACCTAGGACAGGAAACAATCACCATACTAATAGAGCTTCAATTAAACCAATGGATTTAATTCACTAAATAAAAGAAGTGAGCACTCACAAATTCAATAACCCAGCCTCGACCTGGATTTCTAGTACATGCTCGGATGGTAACTGACAGAAGGCGGCGTAACAAGGCTAAATATTCCGGATTGTTAGAAGCAACACCTTCAGGTGCCGGAAGGGTAACAAGTTGGAGCATTAATCCTGTTGCACCAGATTCAACCTGTACAAAGTATTCAAAAATAAATAAATAATTTGAATGTGTTGAAAAACAAAAGAAAGATACCTAAAACATTTCCCGGTGATGAAATAACTACCTACCTGGATCCCTTGATGAGGAATCTCCCTCTTTGTAAACTCTTGGGCTATACCAAGAAAAGGTATTCGTTCATCACACATGGCAACAACGTGGGCCAATTCTGGTATGAAGTAGGCAGGGTGTTTAGATCTCTGACGTGAGTCGTGGAAACCAACAAGTTTCCGTTTTCCAGCAGATTCAGGGTCCTCCACATTTGTCCAAGGACCATGAGTAGCGACAAAAGTGTCAAATTCAACAAGAGATAAAACCTGCAAAATTATAAAAAATAAAGAAAAATTTGTAGGAAATGGCAATGAGCTCTAAGAATTGGCATAAACAGTATCAGATTGATCACCACTGATTAAGTACTAGATAGAAAGTTTGATAATAATGGTTGCATGTATCACAATAACAATGAACTGACTGTACCTTTAAATATGGTTTGGGCGGTTCTGTTTCTGAAGCATTTTCTTCAGATGAAGACGCAGTTTGAGCTTGATCGTCATCATTTATGGATGCAGCTCTAACTGATGCTAAGTAGAAAGCGCAATCCACATTTAAAACAGATTCTTTTCTCTCATGTAGATCAACAATAAGAATGGAGCCTGCATGGTGGTGCAGTTGAACTAGCATGTGATGCCTTCCCAGTCTAACAAAAATAAAATATTAATCTTTTTAGATTGAATTTTTTACAAATAAAACCATACAGGAAGTTATCTTTGAAAACTTAATGTAGCAAATGAAAAAAAAATGTATTTACCTGGATGCAATTGAATTATCGTGAGGCATCATGAGAGGCAAACGATCTTTGACAGATACAGGCAGGTGCATAAGAGTTTTTTCACACCGTCTTTGTACAACCCAAAAACGGAGCTCTGAGAGTAATGTTGGCAATTTTGATCGATCACCATTTAGAGCATTGCTTAAGTCTTGCATCAGAGGGGCTTCATACTGAGGGACACAGCACTGAAGGATTCCTGAGTAGGTTTCCACTGTCACGAGCATTTGTTCAGCACGTTGACAAGGTTGCAAAAGTGGAACACTAAGAACAGCTGGTACACCGCCTAAGGAGCATTCTACTCCTGGTAACATAGCTTGGATTTCTGTTTTCAAATCTGTCAACCTTGATTTGGAGCGAACGTAAATTGTGTGTACTAAAAGTCTCTCAACTGACAGCACAGCAGAATGTATGGCTTTTTCAGCAATTTCAACCTAAATGCGCAAGTTAAGAGGCAATTTGTAAGCAAGCTATTAAAAGCAAACAATCAAATACAAAATTTAAATGAAACCACTACAAAATATACCTCGTTGTGTCCTAGAGTTGGTGAATGCACAACAGCAAGTGGTCTTGCACTGTCATGATGATCAACTTGAACAGTCAATTTATAACCCAGCTCAGAGCGAGGTTCTTTTTGAGAAAGTTCACGCCAGTATAAGATAGTAAGATGTTGCCCAGGAACATAACTATCAACATGAACATAATTTTCAAGGCGGTCTCTTTTAAGTCTTAATGCCTGTGAGTAGAGAACTTCCAACTGCAAGGCTTGAGCAAAAAAGTGGAGACAACTATAAACCTGTAAAAGCACAAGAAATAGCAACCTTAAGGCACACAGCATTGAACAGAGCGAACTACAATATACTTGAAAAAGGAATGAAACTTCACCTCATCTAGAGGATTGGGATGATCAGCAAGGCGGGCCTGAAGAACTTTGTGAACATACTGCACCTGCAGGGGATGCACTAATGCCTTGCCCTCTTCAAGACAAAGAGAGACACATTGTAGGTTTGAAATATTAAATGTGGTATTCCTAATGATTTGTTGAGTTGTAGTCACTCACCTCCAATATCTTTATCCTCTACAAGAATTTCAACATCAAGAAGGCGCCATGGAATGTTAGGGCCATCTCCCATCACAGTTAAAGAAACTTCAAACTCATGCTTCACATGAAAAGTAACTCTACCAGTATCAATCTACAAAAACAAAAATTGAAAAATTTAGGAAGTTGAAGAAAGAGATAAAACATAATGTTGCAAGAATGTTCACTATACTGTTCACAAACCTTTAAATTTCGCATTTGAGGAAGGAGATTTCCTGTTACAAGTCTGTGCTGAATGACCTGGTTTAATCTCTGGAGAGTACTTTTCTTTTCACTGGGAGTTATAGGATCTGGTGGAACAATTTTTTCCTGAGGAAATTTTAAAGAGGAAAATGTATAAATGTTAGAGACACGACAGTTGAGATTTAAGAAAATCATGGTGTGGCACAGATCAATTCTCTTTTAAAACTCCAGAAACAAAATAGTGGAACTTACTCTAATACAAACAGGAAGACGACTGTAAGTGCCTGTAGTTAAAACCTCAACTGCTGCAGGTATGTGAAAATTCGGCAAACGGGCATGAACAAGAGTTTCTCTGGCCATTCTAGCCAGCATGTCAGCTGTATCTACAAACAACATTGATTGTTTGTCCAGAAATGCCATTATATGAGCAGACTTGTCAACTTTAGAAGCAGAGTTAGCCCATTTCACGAGGGCTAACAATCTAACAAATAACTGGCGAGTTCTTGATGAAAAATTGTAAATTTCAATTTTCCTCTCCATATCTGTTTTCCTAGGAAGCCTAAAAACATCAAATTTGAAGAGTTGAAAATTATGAAACATTCACTTAGTTAAAAGTATGGTAAAAAACAATCTAGGATTTGAAAGAAATCAAAATTGTATTTGACTTACAACTCTGCTAACACTGTCAGTTCATGATACGTCCTCTGAACAATAAAATCAATTAAAACAGCAAGGCTTATAGACCCCCCACGTTGTCCTTCAGCTGCCATGGGCATCATGGGCATCTGCTGCCCTTCCAGTGGTACAGGAGCCATTTCCAAAGCTATCTGAAAAAGTAACAAACAAAAATGAGAAGGAAACAAGAAAAGCGAATGGACAACAACGTACAGCACGAGCACGGTGTTGTGCCCTACTTCAGCCTGATGCACATAAATAAAGTCTATGGCCAATCCCACAAAACAATAAGTAAATTAGGTACACAAATTTGATTTCTCTTTCAAAATAAGCCCCTGGCAAAGTAATTCTCATGAAAAACAATACATTGGCAGAGAAATTGGATGCATCTGATTCCTGAAGCTGTCAGAGAACCTTTCTACATGAATGACAATTCACAACTTTAAGTACGTCTGCTGACATGTCATAGTATGCAGTGAAGCGAAAAATGGACGATAAGATTTCTGGGCAGGACCTTGGGGGGTTAAACTAGCATCTTGCAGCTGTGTTAGTGAAACAAAGCGTAGAAACATAATCCACTGATGTTTACATGTCTAACCTCAAACTCAGGAAGTGACAATACTTACGTAAATCAACTGAAGATAAGAAAACTTTTAAAAAGAAAACGGGCAGGCAAAAGCCAGCTTCTTTGGGCTTGAAACCTTACATGTCAACAGTATCGTTTATTCCTTGGTAATTCACTTTCTTACAACACTGTTGGCCTAAGACAACAATCACAAAACATAGCCGCCATTGCAAGTTCGACTGCGCTCTACCGGCGCGGCGCGGCGGTGAAGCACAGCCAGTACTCATTTTGTTTTGGGGGCGGGATCATTGAAATTGAAACGCCAAAATGACATTCTTCTCAATATTGCTTCATAGTATAATGTATATTGTTGGATAATGCCCTAAAAAGAAAGTGTTTGTTTTTTTTTCAATTATAATGAAAACAAAGCGGAAATAGATACTATCCCATCAAATGAAACTTTAAAGGGTACGCCACGAAGGGAGGAAAAAATAGTTATTTGCAGAGTTGTAGGTTGAGCATATAACCTTATTCGCACACTGGTGGGACTGTGGATAACAACAACCCTCCTGCCTGCTGTAAACAAACTGCGTCTAGGTGTCTTTCAATGTCAAACTTTCAAGCAATTTGACGATTTCTTCTCTTTCAAGATTGTTTTCAACCTTTTGAAATTCTCTCTTTGTTGTACGTATACTAGGAGTAAGTTAGGATTGTTTTCTAGTTTACTTTCTCATACTTAATCGAAGTGATCTGGCTACAGCAAGGTTATGTTTTGGATTTTGGCGCACAAATTTAACTTAATTTACTATTTTGCCTGCCTCTTCCTTGTGATACTGAGTTGTTTCCGCCTTGCCCTGCAGATTAATGTTTAGCCCATTTATAATAGCTCCCTCATTGCAACTGACGTCCACCATCCGTGACTTGACTGTGGCATCTTTCATAACACACACTATTGTTTGTACAGGAAAATGGAAAACAGTGAAAGTGGAGATGATTTGGGAGCAGGCTTCTTGACAGGAGACTCACATTATTTAGTTCAAGACGATTTAGAAGGTATGACCTTTTACAGTATTTTGGTTCAAACTTAAATTGCTTATTATCAACACACCAATACTAAATGTTCTTCTCTCTATACAGATGATGATCCTGATGCTGTTTTGACTGCAGAAAATACAGATGATTCAAACCACGATGATGGAGAAAAAAGTGGGTTACCGCTACGAGAACAAGACCGTTTTTTACCTATTGCAAATGTTGCAAAAATTATGAAGAAAGCCATACCAGAGTCAGGAAAAGTAAAGGTACCAATCAGTTAAATACACTATCTTTTTTAAAAAATGACTTTAACTCCACATCATTATTAGAGAATGTTGATTTATTTATTTTTTAGATTGCAAAAGATGCTAGAGAATGTGTCCAGGAGTGTGTATCAGAATTTATAAGCTTCATAACTTCTGAAGCAAGTGACCGATGTCACATGGAGAAACGCAAAACTATCAATGGAGAGGATATTTTAATTGCTATGACCAATTTAGGATTTGATAACTATGTAGAACCTTTGAAATTATACTTACAGAAATACAGAGAGGTATAAGTTAATTCATTATTATCTTTACTGTGGTAGCCCTTGAACTATCTCAAATTAATTAGAATATCTTTTCCAGACTACCAAAGGTGATAAAAACCTTAATCCTGGCGAATATGAAGACGAATCATTTAGTAAGTTTCTTGGTGCAAATTTTGAATGAGCTCTGGGGTGGTTCTGAGACATGGAAATTGTTGTGATGTCTATGTTGCCGTTCCATTTATTTGCTGTACTTGTTCACAAACGGTGACTACTGAAAACGATCAACCTCTCAACCTTCCCTTCACCATTTGTAGTCCCATACTTTTCTATGTTCATTTTTTCCCCCCCTGTACAAATATGCACAGTCGATTCCCGTTAGTGCGAGTGCACTGGGACCACGGGCCGAAAACGTTATAATGGGGAAATCGTTGTATCCGATAGCATTAATAAGCAAACTAATGACATGGGACGGCGGAAAAAATCATTTTAATGTGAAATTGTTGTAACTGGGGGTTGTACTAAGGAGTATTGACTGTTCCTATTTAAATGCTAGTAAATATTTTCAAGACATTGAATTTTCTCGGTAAATCACATTTCTCATGCTTCAATAGCATTTATCATGTTGTGATATTTCAAATTCATTGCAAATCTACTACTGTACTTAATGTGAAAGATTTGAATTCTTTATTTTTATTTATGTTTGTCCCATGCGCTACATTAGTGAATTTGAGATTGTTCTTCGTCTTTCACTCTAGAATGAGTTGATTTTCCGGTGCTGTATTTCATCGAAGCAGCATGAGTCAAGTTCCCTCTGTTTAAAAAAAAAATGTATGTATATATAATTATTTTTTTTTCAATAAGACTGTTAAAATTTACAAAACGTTGGGCCTTTACCTTCTTCAGATTGGGCAAGCGGCCAGCATGCGGCAAGTTTACACTTTACGTTTTTCATGTATAAATGTGACAGTGTTATAGGAGCACTCTGTTTACATTTGCGGGGAACTTTGTTTAATCTTAGGCGTTGAACTGAAATACTAAATGTACCATAAGTACTGGTGTTGTGGAGTTATGATTTATTTATTTTTAACGTTGTGAGCAATTTAAAATACTGTAGACCCTTAAATTCCTATATTTTTCATAATTTATTTTTAGGAATTAAGAGAAATTTAAGACCATTACGGTCTCCCGTACCATACTTCAATAAGGTGCTGGATGTACTTAACACTCTAACTTGATTTAGTGTGTTTATAAAAGGATTGGGATGTTTTTCTTCATTGCAGAATAATTCATTTTGTGTTCTAAAGTTATTACCTCTTTGGAATGAAGCAACTTTATTATGTCAAAAAGTCAATAGTCCTGTACGGGACTGAAGTGGTCTACTGCTCTCACAATTTCTAAGTGAAAGGCACAGGAAGGTTGAGTAGTACACAAATACTTACGGTTCTATATCACAATTATAAAACCAAATATCAAAAATTTTAATAAATAAATGTACAAATTATATTTAAATGCATATTAAAAAAAAAAGAAAAGTCACCCTATGTTCATCTTTTCTTTTTGCCCAGTGCATATATCTATAATCACAGACCATAAGAGCCAACCTCTGAACAGTAAAATGGCAGCTTTGAAAGTTGTATGCTGGCACATTAAAAAATCCCAGAACAGTTTCCATACCCTATATCACGACGTCACAGAACAGAAATTTCACTACAATCTTGTGCAAATCAGAAGTATGGGAAATTGTAACAAATTAAATTACTTTTCCATTCCGGAACATTCATTGCCCGCCTTGGTCTCCAGCTTAATGATCAAAATCCTAATCCAAGAATTTTTGTTTACTCTACAGCCAACAAATGTAGGGGTGTGTACCAATACGTAACAATGCAATACAGTAATAATCATTGTGTAATACACATGTTTTGCATAGACTTGAATATCTCTTATCTTGAACTGGTAAAAATGGGCTAATTCATACAAAATTGATCAAAACATACATTATCTATCTCACTTTGGAACATGTAATCTTATATAAGTAAAGATCAAAAAATATATTTATGACTAGAACCATCCATGTCATGGCATGACCACTTTGTGTAATAAACCTCATCATGAAAATACAGAATGTTGAAGTCTCTTTGAAACCATGAGAAACAATATCTAAAGAGAGCTTCAAAAAATGATTATGTCAAAGGGCAAAACATGAGCACATGGTTGCTTAAGACAGTTTTTAACACATGGGTTGTGAAAGTGCTCCTACATCAATACTGTAGGTACTCATTTCAATTGAAAAATTACATGTAGAAGTAATTTTACTTATAACACATATAAGCTTATTTTTCATTCACAGTACCATTTTCATGTACAAGTTATATTCTTGTTTTAATATCTAGATTTACTTTGATTTATTGTTTTAACAGTTGAAACCGTCAACTAGCTAGCTATAGTCGGGCACATGAAAAATACTTATCTACACATCTTATACACTTTCAGATTGATAGATTTAAAAACTGCAAAAAAATATCCGTTCAAAGATTTGATATTGTTGTTGTTCTAAAATGCAAAATAAAATGAAACTAACAGAGACAACCAGAATACAACAATATTGATTGCTTGACATGCTGCGGAATCTCCATCATCATCATTTACAGCTATGTCATAGAAGCAATCCTTTGAGTCTCTTAAAATATCCAAATAGTTCTCTTCCCAGTCAGACCATTTTCCCTCCGGTTCCTTACAACCCATCCAGGAGGCTGCTATGTTTTTAGGCATGCACTGTTCGACTCTCATATGGCGATCATCAAATTTCCAGTACCCCTTATTCTTGAAGAAGTAGGTTACACCTGCACAATAAATTCATGTTAAGTCATTCTGTAAATACTTTTGAGCGTAGAAATTTCTTTTGGAAGTTGTTGAAAGCTTACCATGTTTCTGGAGAACTGCATCAACATTATAACCCACACCACGCCACATTGACATGTCCCGCGGGTAATCCAATTCTACTTTTCCCACTTCTTCATCCAGGCGCCAAAACAGTGTTCCAGAGAAGAGATATGTTCTACTGTTGTGACCCCAAACCATGGCTCCGTCAATGTGAGTGAGAGTGGGTGGCAAACCAAGCTCGGTCAATGGTTTTGGATAGCCAGAAATCAAATTGGTGCCGTTATATACGTAATATTTTTTGCCTGTAAATGTGCAGCACTGTTAGCAGTAGGCCTACAATGAGTAACAACTCCTTCTTAGATGAAGACTTACTCACCGACGAAAAACACAATGTTATTGTCATGAATTCTTTCGTAGACAGCATCAATATGAGTGTAGTTTTTATCAAAACCATACCAAAATCTTTCAGTCAGATGTGGACCTTCAGGAATGTTTTGTTCTTGTATGCGCCAAAAGTACTGCAAATAGACATGACAAATTTAAGTATTCCTGTCAGAAAGCTTAGTTTTTTTCTTTTCTTTGATTGTACGGGATGGTAGTGGCACTTTAATAAGGACTGCTGAAACTCTTGACTTGGATTTTTCTAGTTGGAGTTGAAGGGGGCAATGTTAGTCTCCGGCCAGCCGGGAGGTAGGCAAGCCCGCAGCACAGCCGTGTGGTGCTGCCCAAGGCGCTGCCTACCCGCCAGGCTGCCGCCGACCCACAGGCAGTACCGGGGACAGGCCAGATGAGAACCCACCTTCCCTTTGAAGAAGTACGTTTCCCTCCTGATGACGGCCGCCGCATCGAAGTCCGTGTTGCACTTGGCCGGCTGGGCGGGGTCGTGCGGCCTCAGGGGCGGCAGAGCAGGGGGTGGGACGACGGGCGGGGCGATGGCAGGGCGCTGCGGCGGCCGGGGCGACGGCGAGTAGTCCGGGTACTTGGGGTACTTGGGGAGCTTCGCCCACAGCCTGCCGTCACGCGGACCTGATGGCAGAAGGACAGCGGCCGTAGGGCGTTTAGTGAGGGGACCTGACTGTGAGCCACCCGCTGTCAGGGCTCTTTCGGTAGGGAGGGCGACGCTCACCGTAGATCTGCTGGATGCCGAAGGTGTCGTCCTCGTGGAGCTCGAAGTGCTCCGCGTCCAGCCCGTCGCGGTACCACGCATTCATGACCGCGCCCTCCACGGAGGAGTGCTGCAGCCCCAGCGAGTGTCCCAACTCGTGCGCCAGCACCGCGAACAAGTAGAACCCTGTCGGACAGAGTGGGGGTTAGAGACCCTGTCGCCATGTGGCGGACACCGCGGAGCGACCTTTTCGTGTGCCCGCGTTGTTATTAATGGAGTGATTAGTGAGGCAGCAACAGGTCATGGGATCTGAAACACTTTCATCAGTAG